TGAATGAAAATCACAGAAACAAATTCTTACTTTCAGACGAATTTTAAGACAAGCAGCAAAACTAAAAAAGTTATGTCCAGGAATTCTCAAACTTAAATTTAATGAGAACGGAAGTGTTATTATAACAAAAAATAGTTCAAATCTTGTAAAAAGACTACTTAGAAATAAAAAAAATACTTCCAACATTAAAGAAAAATATGAAAATATCGATAGCTACCTTCTGGTAAAAAATAATAGATTATTTTAGTTAGAACTAAAATATATAAATATTATATAAAAGCTTTATGTAACAGTATGTTTTAATACTGTAAATATAAATTCAGATCCAATTACATGATTTTTTTTTTAAATTACAGACATCTGTCACGAAAATATCTAATACTCGAGAAATTTTCATTAGGTTAAACTGCAGAATGTAATCGAAGAAAAAAAGTTTTTTTTATCAACTTTAACTTTTTATAGGCCTTAGGAATTTAAATTATGAGTACAGTTCCATGGAACAGATAATATAGCAATTAAAATAATATTTCTAATTCTAAAAAAAAAAAATTTATAGGATTTTTATTCAATAAAAAATAAATATACTATGTGTGTTTGTATCTGTATAAAAAAAAAAGAAATAATAATAATGAATTAATAATTTCTTTTTTATATCTTGAGAATATTTTAGCATGCAGAAGGCTATATTAATAAGGTATCACCAATTAGGTTTAATCATGAAACTTAACCTATTACTGATTGGTTAGATTTGTGTAACCTTTGCTAGTTGTTTTACTACAAATATAAGACCTTTAAATTCTTTTTAAAAAAATTAGAGACTATACCCAAAGCGCAAATCAACTTGAGCAGAACCATCAGCTCTAGGGTCATACTGACCCTAACGGCTTGTTCATTTTTCTTTGGGTACTTTGGGTAACAAAAGTTTGTACATAGCGTGTGTGCTTTTGCTCTACCTACTGTAAGGTAGATTTTATGGTAAAAGCCTAATGATTTGACTTCTAATGGCCTTTTAGTGCTAGTTGTCTGCCAGTGGTAGAACTGCATCAGAGATTGAAGTCTCCTCTAAATTTTTCTTCGGCTGATTCAGGTAGTTATGATCATGAATTTTATTTATTTTGCTTAATATACCAGTAGCTTGACCAAAATTTTTTTAATGAATGTTGGTTCTGGCGAAATGTTAAGCATTAGATACTTATAATTATTAGTATATAAAAGTATCCTGAAGAATCTTTTAAAGTCTCTTATACGTCATGTAATATAATCCCTGGGTTAAAATCAAAAAAAAAAATTTATATTGATCCAGTAGATGACAATGCTGATATAAAAAGGTCAGTAATCAAGGATCTAAAAAATGAATTATTGAGTAAAATAATGAAATAGTCAAAATTATTAGTCTAATCAAATTAAATAATAACTTTTTTAAATCAGGTAATATATCAAATTTTTTTTAATTATCTTAAATTTCTTTTTTCTTATCTCAAAATTATACTATCATGAAGTAAAAATAATGAAATAGTCAAAAATTATCATAGTCTAATCAAATTTTAATAAAGATATAAATAACAATTGAAATAGTATCATGAATCATCATTATATTTTCAAAGAACAACCGTATACGTAAATTTATGAATCGTTACCTAATTATATATATTCTCACTGCTTGATTTCACCTTTTTAAAAAATCCCACATCCTTAACTAAAAGAATAATGATCCATACTATTGAAAATAAAGAAGAAATAATTAAAAACTCTGTTAATCATATTTGGAAAACAACTGAAGGCAAAGTTGTTACTATTACTTTTGATGATCCATTAAACTCAGTAACAATAACCTTAAATAATGGCAACAAAACTATTTTAAATTTGGATGCACCAGGAGTGGTTCTTATAAATGAAGAAATTTTTAGGAAGATAGTAAATGTGGTTGACGGATCTAACAGAAAAGATCCTATTATAATTGACGAAGTAGAAATAAGACTTCAAGAAAGTGCAACTTAAAGTTCTAGTTTTGAAATAGAGGAAGACTGTACAAATAAAAAATCAAGTTTTTTAGATGATTCAGAAGCTTCTGTTTCTGTAGACCAACCTTTAAACCATAAAGAAAGTGATGTAAGTATTAAAAATTTATTTATAGCTATCATTTAGTACCTAAAATAAAAATTTTTAGGATAATGTTATCGAGAAGGATCGAAGAAATGAAATTCAAGGTTTGGACTCTGTAGCCCAACCCTTAAACTATGAAGAAAGTGATATAAGTATTTAAGATTTGTCTGTCAATTTAATATAGATATTATTTAATAAAAATTTTTAGAACCAATCATTTAATGCTATCGAAAAGGATCAAGGAAATAAAACACAAGATTTGAACTCTAGTATTCAGATAAAATTACATATAGAGGAATTACTAATTGAAAAATTAAATGATATTAAAAACTCAAAAAATTAAAATATAAAATTAAGATTGATGGCGAGTATGATGATTTTGGTTATTTCTGTCTTGATGGTGACAAGTTTTACTTTTTTGACTAATTATTCTTTAAATATATTGAAATTAGAAAACGCATCTTATTTTATTGTTTATAATTATCGCTATAGAATCAACCCCATGTTCATTTTTTAATAACTACAATGAAAATAACTTAATAATTAAAATTAAAAGGAATATGATAACCCACAATCTGATGAGTATTATGACTCAACAGAAGAAGCAGATGAACAAAGATTTAATGAGATAACATCAAGGTTAACAAAAAGTAACTCTGGCAATAAGTACAAATTCCAAATAAATAACCAATTTAAAGCTTCAAAAA